TTTGGAAAGAATGCATATTTTACAGGCTAGACGCGAAGAACGTAGAGGGTTTTGGGTGAAGGGAATGAAGAAGAAGGAAGTAGTAGTGTGGAGATATGAATGAAGGTATATACAGAAGAAGATCACATATTTGCTGCTTATCTTTCCTTTTTCCTGTTGATTTTCCTGGCCTTGATGAGGCCCCTGTTGAGGAATTCTCTTGGCCATTTTCGTGTGAGTGACATGCAACACTAGGCGTAGAGCTTCATAGGAAAGAGGGTGAAAATTTTCAAGTTGCAAGAAATTGTAGTTCCCTTTGATCCATGCCTCATCTTTGACATCCTGGAGTACCTGTAATAAAAGTTCTTTCGTTTATTATATTCCCTTATTTATTTATTTATTTTGAAGAATGAATAAAAATGAGATATTCATGTAGCCGACCCCAAACATTAGGGCTAAATGATTTGTTGTTATTGTTGTTGTTGTTGCTGTAATAAGGATGAATAAAAACAGAGATATTTGATCTCTTTTTAGTTGTCTTCTTTTAATAATGGATTGTACAATTTTAATTTATTCTTTGTTGATTCTTTAATTTGCATATGTTACCATTTTATTCACCATCTTTCGTACTTGAGAATGATTCATCTGTTTACGGTTCACTCTCTTTTCTATATCCTATTCATAATGAGATTGATAGGCAACACAATGTTGATAGACTTGAGAAAACTAGATATTTAGAAAGGTTCTAGTTTTTTCTAGAGTCGATTCTAGTTTGATTCTACTTCACCTTTTGATCCTTTTTGCATTTACATTAGTTGTGAAGATTAAGAGTCCTTTAAGATTATTTTTGAGAAACATCGTTAGGATTAACGAGTTAAAAAAGATTTGTTTTGGAGCAATCTTAGAGAGTTCATAGGCAGAATGTTTACAAAACTAGGCTAAATTTTGAATCAAGTAATCTTATAAAGAGTTTAAAAAAAAAACTTTTTTGCTAAATAATTAGCAAAACCGATCGTTTTACCAATTATTTAGCAAAAAAAGACCTCTTTTTGACCAACATGTCGTTTTTAAAAATTTGTGTATTCGAAACATACGGGACTGCTAGTTTCATATGTTTAGTCCCCATTAATTGACGACTAATAATCACGCCAAAAATCTACAGGACTACTAGTCCCGCAGATTTTAGATGTCGGCTTCACAAAACATACGGGACTAATAGTCCCTTACGTTAAGCAGAAACTCTGCTTGGGTGCCCGACTGACTCCACGGGACTACTCAGTCGGGCTATATAAGGCCCAGCTGTGCCCCAAATTAGGGCACAATAGCCGAAACTCTCTTGTTCTCTCTTTCTCTCCCAGCCCAAACCACTGATCTCTCTCTCCCAAACCCAATCTCTCTCCCAATCTCTCCCTCAATCTCTCTCTCTCTTATTCTATTGATTCTCTCCCAACTCACCTCTTCCTCCCTCAAATTTCTCTCTTATCCTCTCCAAACTCATTCTCGCCAAACCCTAATTGAGATCTTCCCTAAATATCACTCCAGCATTGTTGAAATCCGACATCGTTTATTCTCTCCGACGCCGACGAAATACGAAACTTCATCAAGGTATAAATTTCTTATTTTTTCATAATTTTCTCTCTATTATTTAGTTAATATTGTAGTTTGGAAGTAATTGTATATTTAAAATAAACATTCTAATTATGATAATCAATATGAAAAAATCTAATTTGCATATGATGAATTTTAATTCTTAAGTTAAAATGGCGAATGGAATACCAGTTATTTGCTTATTCAATGAAAAACTGAGTGTCGGAATGAATAATATGTTTGTATACGAATGATGATCTAGAAAAATATTCATGTTATCTAGAAATTGTAATTTCAATAGAATGATGTGTTAAAAAAATTAAATTATTGAAGTTATCTAAACATGATAGAAATTCAAATACTTGATCTAAACATGTTTAGAAACTGAAAGATATAATCTATATAAAAAACAGAAGCAAAATTGATTAAACTAACCTCCAGCCATCGTTGTCTTACACAAGGATAATAGATGTTGATTTCGATAAGATCTTCTAAACCTTATCTCTTCACTAACAGATGGTGTATTTTTATTTCAAAATTGAAGAGCAGATATTAGGGACCAAGTGACCAACTACTTACATACTTTTTCTGCTCTCTCCATCAAAGAGCAATAACCGAATTAGAGGGCAAAAATGGGTGGATAAGTTATAACCAACTCTCTTGATGATGAGAAGTTATTGGACCACTTTGTAACCAACCGTGATTTTAAAAATAAAACCAACATTCTCCCACTTGGTCCAAACATTCCATCATCCACCTTAATGAAAAATAAAATACATGAATCATGATGATAGGTTCTCTAATGTTGAGTAGTACCTTCCATGTATCACAATGTATCGTGTCTCTCAATCCCAAACGACTTAATGAATAAACTCTATGTTTATTCGAGGTCCAAACTTTAATGATATTTCTCAATAAATAAACAAATATGTATGTGCACAAAAACAAATGAGAAAATATCAACTGAATAAGAGTTTCAATAAAATATCAAATGTACGTACAATGAATATTTACATCATGGAACCAAGTCCCATTCTTACTACATGATCCTTGAAATTCTTTGGTGGCATGTCTTTAGTCAAAGGATCAACAATCATCAACTCAGTGCTAAGGTGCTCAATGACCACTTTCTTTTCTTTAACACGTTCTCTAATGACCAAGTATTTGATGTCGATATGCTTACTATGACTATCACTCTTGTTATTCTTAGCCATAAAAACAGCAGCTGAGTTGTCACAATACAATCTTATTGGCCTAGAAATTGAATTCACAATTCTGAGCCCCGACACAAAACTCTTCAACCATACACCACGTGACGTAGCCTCAAAACATGATACGAACTCGGCCTCCATAGTGGAAGTAGCAGTCAAAGTCTGCTTTGCACTCCTCCAAGACACGACTCCACCGGCAAGCATGAAAATGTATGCTGATGTTGATTTGCGTGAATCAACACAGCCAACAAAGTCCGCATCAGAGTAACCAACCACCTCCAAATCGTCGGTCCGTCTATACATGAGCATGTAATCCTTTGTCCCTTGAAGGTATCTCATCACCTTCTTTGCATCTCTCCAGTGGTCAATACCTAGGTTACTCTGATATTTTCCTAGCATTCCAATAACAAATGTTATATCAGGTCTGGTACAGACCTGAGCATACATTAGGCTTCCAACGGTTGAAGCATATGGAATGTTTTTCATCTGTTTCTGCTCGAGCTCATTTTTAAGGCATTGATTTAGGCTGAATCTGTCACCATTCACAATAGGTGCTACAATCGGTGAACAATCCTTCATCCGAAATCTCTTTAAAACCTTTTTGATAT